AGGCTACTTGTCTAAGACCACACAGCAAGTGAGTGATTAAGACTGGAATTGAATGCAATTTCCCTGACTCCCCAGGTAGATGTACCCCACAGCTTCCCTGAGGGAAAATACCTCCCTCCCCCTGTATGGTGTTGGATATAGAGCAGGTATTCAATAAGAAATAATTGTCTTGGCAAACCAGGTCTGTGTGTCGGCTGGCCTGACTACTCCCAGCAGGTCATGGGACAGGTTGTGGATGCTCAGGTATGTGTGCATGCACACACACAACCCCGAACTCGGGGGGACATGCAGGCTCACACACACACCCACACATACCGCTCCAGAAGGGCAAGCACAGCACGTGGAGCCCCTTGCTCCTCGTGGCTGCGTTGCCCTAGTGGTAGCTGGGAAGGGCTATGTGAGAGGCCATAGTAAGCTAATCAGGGGCCATTTTGGCCCCAATAAACATCTTCATTTTGTGCCTCCACAGTATTGCAAAGGGGAGCATACATTCCCACCAGGGCTGCAGGAGAATGTGTGTGGCACCAGGGCCTGATCTAAGCCACAAGTCCTCCAGGGCCTCTAAAGAACCTTTATTCTTGGCTCATGGACACCCACTGGCTTCAGATGACACCTGGAGCCCAGGAGATGGGGGCAGGGGCAGTTTCAGGGCCTGAGAGAGCCCCTGTGTCCCTTCAAAGTGTCCTCTCTCCTGGACCTTGGCCAGATTTAACTGACACCAGTTAGATCCCCATGTGAGACCCAACACTATAACCTTACTAGCAATTTGCATAAGAGGCCCCTCCTCCTCAGTGTACTTGGCCCTTTATTGGGAACATATTTTGATGGTGTTGACAGTGCAAGAAAGACAAGCTTGGAATCAGAAAACCAGGCTACAAGTTCCTGGCCCTGGGCCAGGTGCTATTAGGTAAGTCTGTCTAACTCTCTGAGCCTCCGTTTCTTCATCTCTAAAATGGGAATTGTTTCCATAACTCACTGTGCTGGACAGTTGTGGGGCTGAATTTGGGAAATGCTTTGTAAGAGGTGACGTGATGCACTGATATTACTGCCAGCATCAGAGAAAGGCGAAAGTGAAGACCCGGAGGGATCTGGAGCACCTGGGGCGGAGGAAAGACAAGCAGGGAGGCAGACACCGTTTCCTAAGCCCTGGACATGGACTTCAACCTTGGATGGAAGAGTCAGGTGCCCAGGGTGACACCAGCTGGCCTGGGGAGTGTCCTCAGCCCTTCTGACTTTGCTGTTGGCATTTTCTCTGCTCATTAACATGTCATGAGGGTGGAGAGGAGGAAAAGCTCAAAACAATAGATTTGTCTATTTGCCAGCACATCTGGGGAAAGGCTGGGTGTGCAAGGGCAAAATAGGCCAAAAATCAGTGCTTCACTTTCTCAAGGAAACACCTAACTGTGGGTTTAAATTCTCTGTAGCTGTTGCTGATGAAAGCTCTGGGAAATTGAGGTTCAACGGCAAACCCTCATGGGTTAACAGGCAAAGAGAGAGAGAGAAGAAGCATTTAAAGCTCTCTGGCTTTGTGGGGGGATGGGTGACTAAAGGACAAGGCTGTGCTTAGGGAGTCATCCATCCATCTGCCTGGTAAGTGTGCAGTGAGCATCCCGATCCCATCCAGCCCTCTCCTGAGGGTGCTATGGATGCTGCAGGGAGAAAAAAAACAAGGATTTTGCTCTCTAGACATCCAGACTCACATTCAAAACAATAAGAGCATGACTCAAAATTGAGTCTGTACCTCAGTAAATGGCAGTTAGCTTTTCCATATAACAATCACTCCAAAGCTTGGCTTTAAGACAACCACCATTTATTCAGCTCACAATTCAGTGGTTGATAATTTGAGTTGGGCTCAAAGAATTCAGTTGGGAAGTTGGTCTTATCTGGACTCATACATCTACATCCTTGATGATCATCTAGGACAGTTCATCTCTGTTGCACATGATCTCAATCTCCAGCAGGTTAATACATGTGATCAATACATGAGAAAAGGACTACGTTGGGCTATCTTCATTCTCAGGTGCTGGAGCAGAGCTGTGAAGGGGTCACATTTAGTTTTTCTCTCCTAGCCTGGCCACCTCACTCAACATCTCCATGGTTTTCCATTCTCTCTGGACAGACAGAAAGCCTTGCAGGTTCATCCACAATGAACATTATGGATTTAACATGTGTTACTCTCTTGAAGGCATTTGCATCTTAAGCATGAATGAGAGAGAGAGAGAGAGAGAGAGAGAGAGAGAGAGAGAGAGAGAAGTGCTTAATCCAAACCACTGACTCCCTCCTGAAGAATGTTTGGCTCTGGAATGCTATTACTGGACCATGTATCTCTGTGGTCCATCCCAGGAGGAGGAAGCCAGCCAGGGTGCTTCTGCTGGCAAGGAGCCCTGGGTGGCTCATTGCTGAGTGTCCTGGGCACTCTCCCCTGCCTGGCATTTCACTCCAAACCATGTTGGGCTTGGTGGGGACAGAGGGGACATGTGAGGACTGGGTGTTTGCTGAGCCCCATCTCTGCAGCCAGCCCTGGGCTGGGCCCCGGGGAGGATTAGAAGCATCTGTCCTCTGTGAGGGTGCCTTACAATGTCCGCTACAGGTGGGCAGAGGAGGCCAGTTCTGAGACACCTCTAGCTCTGCCTTTCTCAGGCAACTTCTCTCCCCTCTCTTCCTCTTGGTATCTCCTTCCTGCTCTCTTTTCTCTCTCCTGCCTTTCTATCTCCTCAGTATTTCATCTGATGTCCTCCCTCACTCCCTTCTCTGTCACACACACACACACACACACACACACACACACACACACACACACACACACGCCAGGGTGTTAGACTGAGGTGCCCATGAGCAATAACGGTTGGGAATCTAATCTAATTGCCTCTGGCTTCCTCTGAGAGCAATGGATACCCTCCCACCGATGTGATTTGATTTCAGGGGCCCGGGGAGGCCGGAACTCCCACAGTGCCCAGACTCACTGACTGCTGTCTGAAATCCCACCATCAGAACTTCATGATGTCTTCTTGCCAAATCGTAACTGCTCCTGAGAAAAACCACCATCTAAATGCTTTTCCATGGCAGTTCAGAGTGGCCCTGAGAGCCAGGCTGGCAGGGCAGAGGCGCAGACGAGAACTTGTAGGTCTCCTGGGGAAACGGGAGGCGGACGATGATGTTACCCTCGGTCCTGTCCACAGTGCTCACAGGGCCTTTGCATAAGTGGAATGTGTCTTGCAAACCTCAGGAGCAAGAGGCCCAGTCCAAGTGGCTTTCTGGACTCGGTCTGCCCTTTTGGGGCACCAAGCAATGTTATTGTGAGCGCCCCACCACTTTGTGAAAGCTGTTGGGGTTTGGGGATTGGCTTTTTTTAAAAACGCACTTGAGTTTTTATAGAGAATATTAGGAGAATGTCTGACTCATGAGCTGGGAGGAACTATGCGTGGTTTACAACCAAGGCCGTCAGTGAGGCAGACCACCCCCACCCTTCCTTGGTCAGGGGGTTCTGTTCTGGCTCTGAAACAGCTTTAACTTCTGGGGTAGTGGGTTGTGATTCGCACTGACCATCTCGTGGGCTCGGCCACCCCAGTCCATGTTGGACTTGCAACTGGGCCCCGACACTCATTGAAAGAATTCCCGTCTTTCTGTCAGCAGTGTTTCCAGCTCCTTTGGTTGTATTTGCTCCTCACGCAAACCAGTGCTGATCGCTGGGGGGCAGCTGTTTTGCATACTGCCAAAGCTTTAGCAAGATGCTCCTTCCTACATGTCCAACTGTTCATTCCATTCACTCATCCATCCATCCATCCACTCAGCCAGCACGTTTTTGCTATGTCTTAAGGTCTGTGCCGGACACCAGGGTTATAGGTGAATGAGACAGAGCCAGGTCTCGCCTTCACCGAGTGAGGTCTTCTGACCATAGAGCCCGCCATAAAATGTGCTTTTTGACTGCAGTGCGAATGCTTTTATAAACCTCATTGGCATTAGATGGAGAAAGGTATCTTCTAGGATGGATAATGCCTGGATGACTGTCTTATTACTCACGGGGGTTTCCTAGAGGACACCACCTCCTCCCTTCCCTGGACCCTGACAGCAACTGGAGCCAAATACTGGCCCTGTGTTGCTTGCTGGAGGTTTGCTGTTTAATTGTCTCAGGCCCATGGGCAAGGAGGCTTCCTTAGGATGGAACATCAGTATCATGAGAGTCTGGAATTCAGTTCCTTGAAGAAGTGGAGGTGCTCATTTAGATCAAAGGCTGGCCCTGGGGAAGCATTCACAAAGCTGCTCTGGATAGGAGGGGTCCCTTTGGGCATATCACTTCCTTTCCGCCTGTGTGTCCTCTATCAGTCAGGGAACCACACTATGGGGAGAGAGGACAGCAGACCCCAGGCAGCCCAGGAGCCAAGCCAGGGAATAGGCCTCTGGGGTTGATCAGACTGTAGCAAATGAGGTTAAACAGATTTACCTGGAGTAGGTAAGGAAGCAAGGAAGGACAGCCTAGGAATCTGGGCTCTGGGCAAATGGCCCACTCCCCATAGTCATCATCTCTGATATGTCTGGGTTGTAGTTAAGCAGTTAACTTATGAAGTGTACCCAGGCTCCTGGTCCTGCCATTCAAGACTCCCCACGATATGCCCCTCCCCCACCTTTCCTGTATTACCTCCCCGAGCAGCCTGCCTCAGGATGGATCACAAAGGAGGGTTATCTAGCCACATGGAGCTTGCATGTGTCCCAGGCTGGCAGCGTGGGCCCCTGGGAGGCTCAGGAGATGCAGGAAACGGAATTCTGAGCTGTGTTAGTGCAGCGGACAGAGGAAGCTCCTGGGGCCACACTGAGTGGAGCAGGGAGTCTGCCTCCAGACACCTGCCTGTGGTTTGGATCTCCTCCTTGCACCTGTGCTCAGGCCTCCAGACATGGGCCCTGAGTACTCGGGCTTGCTCTCTCATTGCTACCTTGCTCCTTCCTCCTTCCTCCATCACCCAGGCCAGCGTTTCTGTGCCTTCATAGACCAGTTTGGCCTAACCATGATCAGGCAGAAGGTGGCTGTTGCAGTGAATCTGTATCATTTCATGGTGAGCTTAGAAGGGGACCTGGAGGTGTTGGAGCCCAGCCACACTCCTCTGCTGGGAAGTTAGTTGGCCTTGCATGGGCATCCCCAGTGATAAAGAACTTTGGGGAACACAGTGACATTCTAAGAAATGTCTTCGTTACGTTGATCCAAATCTACCAAAATGAGCTGAATCCCTTTGCCTGCAGCTATTACCTGACTGGAGCCTCCTCTTCCCTGAGCACACCCGTTCTCATATCAGACACTGAGTCCTCTAACAAGCCTGGTCTCCATCACCAGAGTGCAGCTCACCATGTCCGTGTTAATTCGAGGTGCTGGGAATTGGGGCCAGGACCCCAGAAGTTTCTTCCATCCTCTCTCATCAGTTAAACCCTGGGAAATATAGGGCCTAAACACAGCCTTTTGCGTGAGGACTTCTAGGGGCCCCATAGGATTGCCTTGCAACAGAAACACCCAATGGGCTAGAAACACCTTGGCCTCCTCCATAAAACTGGGGCTTGACCTGGGAGGGAACCTGGGGCCACTGGCCAAGGTGGAGCGGGCCGAGCCTATGCGTTCTTCCTCACCACGGCCATTCCTTGGCATCTCCCACAGAAGAGATCCAACCCCTTCCCCATGGGCCGCAGCAGCTGGTCTCTTGCCAGTTCATGGTAACTTCTTTCTGCAGGAATGAGCTTCCTCCTGGGGGTGCTTGGGAGGGGAACGAGGAGGCGGGTGGGACCACCAGGGCCTTGGCATGCCGTTTCTGGGCAGGAGGACTTCTCTTTGAGAGTACCACGTGTACATGGTGTGGGCCTATGAGGGTCTGGGTGCTTGGAGGAAGGGAGGCCTGAAATGGCAGGGGAGGGGAGAGCACTGGGACCTAGGGGGCCTGAACTCCAGCCCCAACTCAGGCATAACGACCTGAGAGCACTGGGCAAGCCACCTACCTTTCCCAGCCCCCGGGTCCTCATCGTAGAGTGAAGGCTGCACGATCTCTGAGCCTTGTTCGGCTGGAATATTTGATGATCCCATGAAGAACCATATTTCCGGAGGAGCTAATAATCTGATACTTAACATTTTAAAGATAATGGAGGTCTTTCTTCCTTTTCTTTCCTTCCTGCCCATTTTCCTCCCCCCGCCCCCCTTTTCCTTCTCCCCTCTTCCATTCTCTCATGTCCCCCTCCCTCCCCTCTGGGAAGATTCCTAAGCCCCTCTAAGAACAAAGGACATCTCCTGAAAGCACCCCCTTAACCTCTTATTATTGGAGATAAAATGTGTCCACAAATAAAATGCCAAATATCACAGGCAAACGCCACCAGTCCAGCGGAGAGGGCAGTCTATCTGACTGGGAGATTACACCCGAGTTAAGATCTGTCCTGGGGAGTCAAGGTTGGACTGGATGCAACTGTCCAGTGAGGTAGGGTAGCAGGACCAGGGGGCAGAGAATGGCCATTATGGGCCTGGAGGCAGGCGAGGCCCTGGGGTCTGGGAGAGGCGAAAGGAAAAGTGAATTCAACAGGCAGGAGATCTGGGTCCGGGCTGCCCAGCTGTGGGAGCCGGGGGCTGTCCTAGCATTCAGTTCACAAACACCTTCCCGGGAAGATGAGGGGCCTGGCCTGAAGGTGTTCGTGGCCCCAGGCAGCAGAGCAATGTTAGTGCGTGTATGACCCGGTGCCATCAATGTGGGTCCCATGCCTAGAAAACGGGGCCTGGAGAGTGAGATGTCCCGTCCAGGGCTGACGGTGAGGGGGGCCCCTTGACCTTGAGGCAGAGCCCTCACATAGGCCACTCTGCCTGCCTCTGAACGCCGCTTGTGGGCAGATATTTGCTTTTCAAAAGGCTGGTTTTCTTCGAAACTTGGGAGCTGGAGTTCAGAAAGGAGCAACATCTGCCTCCAGCCCTCGCTTCGAGGAAGTGCTTAGCAGTGACAAGCCTGCACCTTCGGTCCCAGGTCCCTGCCAGCTAGCTGCCCCCCACCATCCTCCCTCCCACACCATCCTGGGGCCGTTGCTTTCCACCCAGCCCCTCTCCCCTTCCCAAGGCCTGCTCTGCCTCCACCTGTGAGGGAGAGTGATGCTGGGTCAGTGAGCTGAGTGACCACGGGGAACCTGACACCCTGAGAACCGGCCTGGGGAGGATGGGACACGCCAGACTGGCTTCCCTGAAGACCGAGGGTTTGGTTCCCACCCTCCTCTCCCAGGGTCCCACATCCCTTGGAGGAGGGCGGCGATTTGGCCCTGGTTGACCTGCCATAGAGACTCTGGGCCGGCCTTTTGCTGGAGGCACCCACCCTTTTCCTTGCCCCACAGTGCGTCCTGTTCTTCCCTTTTCTCTTCACCCGAGTGCTCAGAGGTGGTTGCTCTCAGCCCTGGAGTCTTGAGAAGGAAGCCCCTTTACTTGGGGGTGACCGCACTGGTTCAGATGAGAAGACAGCCAGAATATTCCCGCTGCTGAGGAGGCTCTCTGCTCTGGAGAGGCCTCAGTTAAGCCTCATGGCTCTGCCTGGGCCACCGTCTCTGACATTCTGACTTCTTAGCCTGGCTCCTCTCGGCTCCTGCCCAGGCCCCCTTGGGGCTCCTCTGCACCCCTTGACTCCATTCCCCTCATCCCCAGGCCAGAGGAAACCCCAGATGGGCCTGTGTGTCTTCTGGGTGTCCTGCACCGCCCTCCTCCTTGGGAGGTCCCCTTGCTTCATTAAACGCCCTAGTTCCCTGGCTCTGCCCTCTCCCTCCCATTGACAGTTGGCCTTTAAGGAAGACCTAGACTCAAATCTCCCCTCTGTCAGCGAACCTTCCAGAGACTCGGGACCTCGTCTCTGTCATCTCCACCACCTGCCCAAGGCCTGGGCCCGAGCCTCTGCTCCTCCCTTTCCTTCCCTGCAGCGAAGCCCTGTGGTTTCTTCCCACCCCTGACCCCTCACCCTCCAGCTGTCAGTCTGCTAGGCTCCCTGCCCATGAGTCACGAACCAACCACCAGCGCCCGGGCACTGGTGGAGCACCTCTTAACGTCCCGTGTGCTAGGTGGGCATCAGGTGAGGCTCGTCCTGTGGGTTTCCCTGCCCCAGCTGCACGAGGCTTGACCTGGACCTCCCCAGCCTGCCCCACCTCCCTCAGGCCCCCGGCCTGAAGGTGCTGCTCCCAGCCAGCGCTGAGGGGGAGGTTCACCATCCACTTCCTGAATTCTAAGATGCATGTGTTTTTCTTCATGGCGCTGAAATGGATTTGGGTCTTACACTTGATGTGTTACTTTCGTGCTTTGTGTATCTGTTTCTGGGAGACCCTTCCTTCTCCCCACTCCCTAAAAATGTCACTTGGCTCCTGGTGAACCTTGCAATCGATGGCATTTGAGCCCTGGGGAAATATAAATGGTTAGTACTAGTATAATCGGGGACATCTGCAGATTATTTTTTAACCCAAAGGAGTAACTCTAATGGGAAAAATTGTAGGTGTCTATTGAAGGGGCATTTGGGGATGTGAGTGTTGTTCAGACGTCACTGATCATTGGCTTGTCATGGGCCAGAGATCCCACCCTTAGGACTTCACTCCTCTGGGCTTGGAGACCAAATAGAACAGCGATTATCTGCTACTTTTGCAGACCCCACGTGACACAGGGCTGAGGAGAGACGGGGGTCCCTGAATGAGTGTCTCCCGGCTTCATTATAGAGTGGCCAGTTGGGGACCCAGCCATTTTATTGGAGTGCTCCCAACCAGAGGCATCTCCAAAGCTTTTTCTGGGACCAGTTTCTAGTCGAAGGCTCTGGAGGGTGCAAGGGAGGGGCCCTAGGTGACAGCTCTCAGAACCCAGTGGCAGAAGAGGCAGGGTTTCCAAAGATCCGTTCATAGGCGTTCGCCTAACCCTCCAGTTTGAGCCTGTGCCTTGCCCTGCCCTCCTCTATTGGAGCCTCTCTGGCGCAGCTTCCCCACAGAGTGACAGGCTGAGAGCCCCAGACTGCTTTCATATGACTAGTCATCCCGTTCTCAGCTCCACCCTCTCTCCTGCCTTCCACAGTAGCCACCGCCTCCAATTCCTGACCTTCCAGCACGCGTGCCAAGATCCTGCCCCCGCTTCTTGCTGACCATCCCTTTGGTTAGAACTTGGTTTCTGGTTTCTCATCTCTGCTAACTCCCCATCTGCTTTCCAGCTTCCAAAAATCTGCTGACACCTGTTGCCTGCTCCTGTCACCTCTCCTGTTCCCTCTGTCCTTGTCTGTTCGTCTGCTCTTTGCCCCTTTGCTCTCATTTCCGCGGGGTTTGGGGAGGAGCTGCACCTGCCGTGTTTAGCAGGAAGCCTCCGCAAACCTTCCTGACTGCAGTGGTGGGAGCGACAGCTTTGCTCCTGGGGAGTTTGTAAGGCCTGCTTGTCATCGAGCTTAATTTTATTTAGCAAAGTAACGGAGGCCTGGATAGATGTTGCCTGAGCCCAGCTTATTCCTAGAAATGGTTGCTTTTAAATAAATTATAATATTAGAACATATTGCTTAATTATATTGGGGTGGTTAGTTTTTCTCTTAAAACTGCATGGAAAACACCTTCTGGTTGTCTTCTCTCTGGAAATGAGGGTTCCCATGGGCTGGGTCCTGGCCAGCCAAGGCTTCAGGGAGCTCAGAGCTTGGCTAGGCCAGACGCAGTGTTCTCTATGTGGCATCTATTAGAAAAGGTGGTGAGGTCAGAGGTTGCAAGGGAGGAGTCTAATTCAAGAAAGCCAATCTGCCTCAGGGACCTCAAAACCCCTTTTACAAGTGTGTTAATTTTTTAAAGGATGCTTATCTATTCATTAAAGAAAGCATCCCTCTCTCCTCCAACATGTAAGGCACGGGCCTTTCCTTGGCATATTAAAGATGACCAAATGGACATAAAAGCAATGACCTGGCTGTGTCCTCATGAAGGTCCGGAGTTTCAGCAGCTGCAGGAGGTGCCCCGGGTGATGGCGGCGTCTGCGGGGGAGGGACGCAGCGCTGGTCCTCACGGGGTCTTCTCTCTGTCCTTGCCTCTCCAGGTGCCCCCTTTCAAAGGTCTCAGCATCCGCACGCTACCTCCTGCCGCCACTTCCACCTGGGCCCCCTGCAGCCGCAGCAGCTTGCGCCCGACTTCCCCCTGGCCCACCCCGTGCAGTCACAGCCGGGCCTCAGCGCCCACATGGCCCCGGCCCACCAGCACAGCGGCGCCCTGCACCAGTCCCTGACCCCGCTGCCCACCCTCCAGTTCCAGGATGTCACAGGTCCCTCCTTCCTACCTCAGGCCCTGCACCAGCAATACCTCCTGCAGCAGCAGCTCCTGGAAGCCCAGCACCGCAGGCTCGTCTCGCACCCCAGGTGGGTGCTTCCTGGTGGCCGGTGGGGCTGGGGTGGGACCCAGGGCAGTCACTACGCAGCCCCTAAGTGGGTCTGTGCCAAGGCCGCTTTTGCTCAGTTAGACGAGAGGGATTCATTCAGGCAGGGGAAGCTGCCTGGACTCCACAGGGCTCCCTCGGTAGCCAGTGTGCATCCCTGTCACATTGCCCAGGTAAGGGACGGGAGCTGGGCAGCTGGTGGTCACTGATGCCTACAGTGGGAGTTTGCACCTTGTGGGAGATTTGACTGGGCACCCTCCATGTCCCCACTAGCTTCCTGGTCACCTGGTCTAAGACCCAAGATCCCTAAGGAATAACCAAAGGACATGCTGGTTCGGCCTTGCCTTCAAAGAGCCCCTGGTCTGTTGAAGAGACCGGCTATAAACCAGATGGAGAGTAAAGTCACACATCTCTAGCCTAAAGGTCTGAAGGCGCCGGGGAATCCTGGGCAAATCGTTTCCCTCACGAGCCTCAACTGTCATGAGAAAGAGTTGGATTAGCTCAGTGGTCCTCAAGCTTCTGTGTTTATGGTTAGGACTATTGATACTTATTAGAAATTAAAACAGAAATTTAAAAAATACTTATTAATTCATTTAAAAATAACCACAAACTCATTATATGTTAACACCAATAATACATTTTTGAAAACTAGTTATATATTAATGCGGTAAGAAGATTGACCCCTTTTCTTTTTTAGAACATATTTGCAAATCTCTTCAAAGCCTGGCTTAATAGGAGACAACTGTGTTCTCACGCTGGCTTCTGTTGCAAATCACATGTCACACAGTTACTAGAAATCTCCAGTGCTCATTTGTGAGAGAATGAAAAAGGAAATAACCTCATAGAAGGATCAGGAACATAGTTTTGAGCTCCTAACCCCTATAGAGGATTCCCAGGGGCGCTGCAGCACACTTTGATAACCTCTTGGCTAGATGATCTCTAAGGCCATAAGCATCCCTAACTGAAGGAGTGAGTGCTGTATGGGGTCAGAGGGAGGAGGGGTCACCATGACTGGGTTATTCAGGGGGGCCTTCCTGTAGGAGGTGGCTGTGACCTGGGCTGTCAAAGCTGGGAAGAGTGTGAAGAAGGGTCAAGGGGAGAAGAACATGGGGGGAACAGAGGGTGCACAGAGGTGGGAACGCCTGCAGGAGGCAGATCTTAGTGTCCTGAAGACAGCCCACCAAGGACAACGAAAGTAGGAGAGGGAGCAGAAGAGACAGGGAGCTGGGAGAGGCAGGTGACCTGCAGCAGACAAACCCAGGAAGAGGCCTCAGTACAGTGGGCAGCCCGACAGAACAGGAATGTCTGAGTTCCTGGCTGCTGTCCAGCTGGGACGCTTCCTCAGAGTTTGGGCCGAGGGGCCGAGCTCCTGCTCTGTAGGCTGGCTGGGACTGCTCAGAGCTGCTGGGAGCTGGGCTGGCCTGGGCAGCCCTGACGCCATGGGCCTCCTTCCCTTCTGGTGCAGGCGGAGTCAGGAGCGCGTGTCTGTCCACCCCCACCGACTCTACCCCAGCTTCGACTTTGGCCACCAACTCCAGACACCTCAGCCCAGGTATTTGGCTGAGGGCACTGACTGGTGAGTCTTTCCGGTCCCTGGGAGAGGGATGGAGGGTGAATGGTCTTGCCCAACCCATGGAGTTTCTGTTTCCTTCCCTTGAGTAGTGCAGGAGGCCTGGTCCTCACGCCCCAGACTGTGGCCCTGTCCCCAGCCACCCTCAGGACCAAATGGTCCTCACCAGGTTAACTGACAGTTAACTCGGATGTGGTTGGGTGCCCATGTTCCCAGATGAGGCTCAGGGCTCCTGCTCCTGCAGGGGAGGTGGGGGCAGAGATACAAAACATTTGCTAAGCTCAATGAGGGCTAGGAAGCAGTGGTGCTTGGGAGGAGGGCAGAAAGAAGAGTCAGGGAAGGCTTCCTGGAGAGGGTGAACCTCAAGGAGCCCACAGAGAAGACCCAGGGCATGCCAGCAAGGAGACAGCCAGCCAGATTGGAGGCAAGGACTTCGGGGAGAACCTGGGGAGAGGGGTTGAGGTGGTGTAGGTGCTGGGCCACTGTGAAGGCTTCCTGTCATCTCCTGCACATGGGACGGAGGTCTTTGTTGCCCTGGGATGTAGTGTTGCTTGGTTTTGGACCCTGGGTCCCACCAAACTCTCTGTTCTAGCTCAGGAGAGGGCTGATCTAAACTCAGGTTGGATCTGAACTCCCAAACACTTGAAAAACTCATGCAGTTCCCTAAAGTAGTTAGAGGTAAAGGGCATCATGCCTGAAACTTATTTTTAAATTAGATCAGAAAAAAATTTCATAGAGAAGTATATGTGTGTGTTGGGGTGGGGGTGGGGGTAGGAAGGGAGGGAGAGAGAGAGAGAGTAAAATAGTAAACTGTTACCACTTGGGGAATCTGGGTGAAGGAATTTTTTGTGCTATTCTTACTTTGAGGCAAAAAGCTTCTTTTTAAAGAATGTAGAAACATATATACAAAATAACAGAAAAACCTCAACGGGAAGGATAGACTAAACAAAAAGATGTGCAGTGGTGTCATTTCTCAGCCAGTCAGTCAAGCAGACTGGCTCAGTCCAGGGCTGCTCTGGGAGCAACCTAGGCCTGGGCACCGAGGAGTGATTCCAAAGGATAGCGCTGCTTGATTGACGGCCAATGGTGCTCCCAAGACAGGAAATGGTTGTTTCAGTCTGCTCTGCTGTCCCCGGCCCCTGCTGGTTCTCAGGTACATTCTGTCAAATTGAACACTCCCCGTAAAGGCAGATTGCAGACGGCCGACTTCAGCGCAGCCTTTTCTAATTAGCAGATTCAAACCAGGGAGATTTAATTGCAGTTTGGATTGAATTCTGTCCCTCAGCATCCCGTCAACCCAATCTATTTCAATCCGGCCCACATGGGCACCCAGAGCCCTTGCACACCCTGAGTGATCCGAGCAAACACAGGGGGTCCTGCGTGGTGAGTGGGACTGGACAGGTGACACAGGTGAGAGTCGTGGAGAGAAGTCGGGAGGAGCAGCTGGGCACTGCCCTTGGCCACTTTGATTATTTAGCAAATCACCTCCCTTCCTCCCTCCTTTCAATCCCTCTGCATTCCTGACCCCTGCTGGTCTGGGGAAGCATAAAGACTGAGGCCCAGAGGCTAGTCCGTGCCCCAGCAGGGGCAGCTGGGAGGCCCTGTCCTGAGCCCACCTGAGCCCATGCCTGGGCCCTTTCTCCTTGTTCAGTCCCTACTTCCCAAGTAGGAAGCGCTTTCCAGAGGAGGAGGCGACCCTTTCTCCTCCCTTGTAATTAGCTCTGCTCCACAAGGGCCAGCTTCCTGTGAGTGACAGAGGCCCTTTTGTGATCGTGCTGATGGCATCCTGCCCCTCTTTTCCAGGGAGGCCTCTCCTGCCAGGAGAAGCGCGGTCTGGAAATGAAATGGCAGGAAATGAATTCTAGGAGGGCTACTCCTACCTCCACGAGGAGCCCTGGAGGGGAGGTGGGGAGAATGTGTCTGCAACCCCTCCCCACCCCCTTTTCCGTTAGAGAAGCATCAGAAACCACTGAATTCTGCCCTAAATTATTTCAGGAATTAAGACACCTCACCTGTCCTTGTCTAGCTCCGGCCTTTTCCTCTTCCTTGAGGATATTTTAGTTCTACTCAAGCAGCTTCTCTCAACCAGGATGCACGCTCCCTTTCTGGCTGTGGCCTGGTAGCCTGACCTTGACCTCGAGCCACCACTCCAGCATCTCCATCCTTATCATGTTCCCTCTATGACTTAATCCTGGCTCTGTGGTTCCAACTCTGGCCCCCGGTGCAGACAGCACCCGGCTCTACCACCCGCCCCTGGCCCTGCCCAGCGGAGACATCCAGGCACCTGGACCTGAGAAGGAGGGTGGGCGAGGACAAGAGCCTCCTCCTATCCTGCTGCAGGCAGCTCTGCCTCAGCACCCTCCCGGCTCACACTTTCTGAGCAAGCTCCGTGCAAAGGACATAAGGTTCAGTGGGGCAACCAGACTGCTCCACGCTCCAAGGCCACTGATAGCGGAAGACAAAGTTGAGGCTGATGTTTAGACGCAGCTGATAAAGCTGGTGCTTTGAGACAATGTCCATGGAAATCTCCAGGGCACCGTTCTGAGCAACCCGGTGGCTCAGGCTTTGGGGTGTTTCTATGACCCCTTTCAAAACTCAGCCGTGTTCTCACAGGCCAGTGGCAACAGCAGGGAAGGCGGCAGGCACCGCTTCTCCAAGGGCTGACGTCTCCTGGGCCGAAGTCCCGACCCAGGCTCTTTTGGGGTCCGAGCAGCAGCCGCTGTTCAGGGATCCTGGGGTTAGGAAGGCATTTTCTGATGAGATGAGAAGAGGGAATCCCAGAGCCTGTCCAGGCCCAACCCGGGCAGATCATCCCTCTCACCCGAAGGCCGAGGTGCTTCTCCACTCAGCATTTTTGGATTTGGAGCAACTCTGCTCCGAGTTCCTTGCGACTTTGCTTTCGCAGAATTCTCTGGATGTGTCTTCGCTGCTTTGACTAGGCTGGGTCCCCTGAGACTGCAAAGAGTCAGAGTTTCAGCCACATGAGGGTGCCCTGTGGAACTCCCTCACCGATGCAGGTCAGGGGATAAGCTCGGGCAAGGGTCAGAAACCCTGGTGACGCTAAGTGGCTAGCCAAGGAACATGGGAAAGGCCAATTTTCAGCCCAACGATAGGTCTGAAGAAACAGGGGCCAGCCCTGGCTGGTCGCTCAGTGGTCAGAGCGCTGGCCTGCCGACTGAAGAGTTTCGGGTTTGATTCCTGGTCAAGGGCACATATCTCAGTTGCATGCTCAATCACTGGCCCCAGTTGGGGCTCATGCAGGAGACAACTAATCGATATGTCTCTCACACATCAATGTTTCTTTCTCTCTCTCTCTTTCTCTCCCCAAACTCCTTCCCCTCCACTCTCTCGGAAAAAAAAAATCAATGGAATAATATCCTCAGAAGTTTAAAAGAAAAGGAAAGAAAGAAACAAGGGCTGGACTACTAAATTTCTCAGTTTGTTTCTGACTGGCTCTAAGAATTTAACTTTTGAGGGGTGAAGGGTGATGGAAGAAGATTTGACTTTGGATGGCGGGCATACAGTGCAATGTACAGATCTGATATGATAGAAATCTACAGCTAAAATCTATATGATCAATGTCACCCCACATATTTAAGGGGAAAACAAAGAGTTTAACTTATTTCCCAAAGGATTTATTTATCAGGAGTTGTTTCATGGATCCGGGCTAATATATATAGAAAATCTAGGAATATATACATTATACATGTATCATGGCTGGAAGCAGAAATCAGGTATTTTTTTCTGTAGTTCCCTTGATCTGGATTCTGCTGGTCACACTCTGGTGGTATCGCTTACAATGTTCCTCGGTGTCCTATTTCCCCACAGGTCAAGGTTTGAGCAGATTTTGGTGCAGCTCTTACTTTTTGGCAAAAATACTTTAAAGGTGGTGTTTTTTCCAGCAGAAGCTGGTCGTCTCTCCTTCTGAGATGTTAGTAGCCATTGACGATCCTTTATTTCTTTAGGATATATAAAAAGGGGTTCAATCATTCTTTACTCATTTATTAGCCAGAAAAATTTTATGAGAAATTTCCCTTCATCAACTACTTGGTTACCCTGAAGTACAGTTAATAGAAGAAAGACAAGATAAATGGTTGTCCGCCCCCCACTCCCACCCCACCCCCCACCACTTTATTTACTAGTTTTCAAAATGCAGAGTTGGTTCCTTAGCATTCTTCAAAGGGACCAGTCTTCTTTAGGGTCAGTTCACCTTGTGGATTTGTACCTGTCTGATGTGTTTCAATCTATTGCATTTATGCTCATTGACATGCAAATTGTCCAAACTCTGGCCAGTGTCCACCTCTTCTGGATGGTTTTGACATGACCCCAGAGAGTGTTTTCAGTTACGATAAAATGTTTCACTCAGTCTCATTAGGCACATTTTATGCTCCAGACCTGAAACTAGCCACTTCCCCAAGGAGCCCTGGTTCCTTTTCAGTTGCATTAATGGATCAATTTTTTAGTAAAATAAATTTTTCTATACTTTTAGGAGTGGGTGGGGGTGGGGTCCAGGGTAACAGGTCCCGACTCACAGAAGCTGAGGTCCTCTTCTCTTGTTTGCTCCAAGCGGTTGAAGTATGGCCTCCACCCCCTCCACTATATTTGGACCTTGTCTTTGCTCCGCATCCTTGACCAGCTCTATCTGGATTTTTCTTTTAGCATTTCTCTCTGGGGGCGGGCTGTGTCCTGGAAGGGTGCTTAGGTGCACTCTTTTCAAAAGTTTATATGAGGTCTTGACTGTTCTAGTCCCTTCAGACCTTGCAGAGCTCTTACTTCTCTGAGTCTCATTTCCGTCTGTAAAGAGAGGGGACCAGTGACTGAGCTCCAGCTTCTTGCAGCCCTGGCTGTTTGTGACTCTGGTTCTTCACCATGGGCTTGATGTCTGAGGTCCCTTCTGTAACCCCATGGCTGAGTAACCCCCCACCCCCCCGTGGCTCACTGTGGCCGTGTCCCCGCAGGGATCTCAGTGTGGACGCCAGCTTGAGCCCTGCTCAGTTCCAGGTGCGGCCCATCCTTCAGCACTATCAGCATTACCTAGCGACGCCTCGAATGCACCACTTTCCCAGAAACTCCTCCTCCACGCAGATGGTGAGTGAGGGACAGACTCCTGTTGCCTGTTGGGGGACATGGCGGGCTGAGGCCTGCAGCTCCCTTGTGTCCTACTCCCTGTGCCCTGTTCCTCTGTGTGTCTCGCTCCCAGGCAGGCCAACTGCTCCCCTCCCCTCCCAACTCTTACTCCCTCTCTGACTTGAGAGCACCTGTAGAAGCTCGTACTGCTGAAAGGACTGGGTGGGCAATGGAGGGTGGAAGCGGGTAGTTGCAGGTGTGGGGAAAGGCTCAGGGCTAAGAGCAAGCAGGGTGGGCTCTGGACCCTGTATGTCTGCGCTTAGTTCATTTCTCAGCGTCAGTGCCTGCCTGGGTGTTAGTTCACTTATCTGTGAAATGGGATGAAATGGGGTGAAGACACCTGCCTGGCCCATCTCACAGGACTGGTGTGAGGAACATAAGAGACCCAAGGGGTGGCCTGGTTGCTGATGCAGCCAGCTTCCTGCAGGGGCTGGGCTTCTCTTCACTGCAGGGTGCTGAGTCCGCAAAGGATCAGGTTCCGTTTGGGGGCATTGCGAGCTGCACGGAATGAAGGTGAAGATGTTTCATTAAACTAACAACAACAATAATAATGTAGCAAAAGACTGAAAATCTTCTTATTCCCAAGCAGCTTCTTCACGTTGCTGCCCCGAAGCACAATTCCAGCCTGCCAGTACTTGCCTCTGCCTTTAAGCACTCAGCACCTCAGTCTCCTTATCTGTAAAATGAGGGGCGTGGGCCAGTAATCCCAGCAGTCTTTCAGCCCTGAGGTCCTATGGTTCCTGTTATAAAGCACCATTTACTGAGAATAAAAGTGAACACTTATTGAGCACTTACTGCATACCAGGCACTGTTCTACGCAATTTAAATGGATTATTTAAGCCTCTCGATAACTCCACAAGAAGAGGTAATATCCCTATTTTACAGATTAGCAAACTGAGGCATAGAGAGGTTAGGTAGCAGGCCAGGGCCATGCAGTGACTAAGACGAGGAGCTACTAGTATGCGGGACACCCGACCCTCTGACTCACACTGGGTCAGGGCCAGGCGAGTGAGGCAGCACCAAACAAGTACAGGGGCAGATCCTCTCTGTATTGAAAAATTTGACATTTTGTTCATTACAGATATTTTATATTAATTTTGATTTTTTTAAAAATGTTGCAGTAAAATATTATTTGTCTCGATCACAGTGCCCTCTTAAATGTTGTGCCCTCACTTTCCCCACCTGGGTCAGACAATGTGCAGTCAAGGGGGAGGGAATTGACTCTGCCCCCACTTCCCCACAACTGCCTGGGTTTGAAATGGTGGTTCTGCCCCTTGGTTGCATAAGTTGGGCCACTTACTAAATGTGCCTGAGTCTCATTTACCCTATCAGTAAAACGGGGATGGAATTGCCTCCTCATTACAAATCCTATGAGATCATTAAATTAGTTAACTATCCGAAGGGCTTAGAACAGTACCTGGCATGAAATAAATGCCCCATCAGGCCAGGTGTTACCTATTGATTTTGCTATTCGTTCTGGGGCTGGCCCAGCATAGGCTTGGTTCTTGCAGGGGTGAGGGAGACCAGGAGCAGGAAAAAGGACACTTCTGCCCACAGTTTCTCAGGGTATGCAGATTGGTGGTTATGGGAGGAGGAGTCGGGCACTGGGATCATGAAGGCTTGAATCCTATCTGAGGCATTTTCTCCCCAACAGGTTGTCCATGAAATCCGAAACTACCCTTACCCTCAGCTTCACTTCCTTGCTCTCCAGGGACTGAACCCCAGCAGACACATCTCTGCTGTGCGGGAGAGCTATGAGGTACGCCTGCCCCTCGGTCTGGGAATCCTCTGGCCAGCTTGGCTCCAGTGGGGTTGGTGGAGAAGCTATTGTCATTCATCACTGCCTTTTATCATGTCCTCTCTCCTTTCCCCCTTCTGGTGGGTAGGGAGTCAGTGGGGCAGGAGGAGCCTTGGGGTTGAGAGGAAGAGAAAGAAAATGAGAGCAAGTAAAGATATTTTGTTCTTTCAGACAAGTTCTTCTGCATGGCTGTGTGAATGCTTCCTGCTAACGTCTGTCAGTGCCTCTCCTTCTCATCACATGTGTACATGTGCCTTTGCACATGAGTGCACACGTCCACATTTTTCTCTTTGCAGGAGCTGCTGCAGCTTGAGGACAGGTTGGGAAATGTGACTCGAGGAGCTGTACAGAACACTATTGAGAGGTTCACCTTCCCCCACAAGTACAAGAAGGTGAGTCAGCCAGCAGGCCAGCATGTATAGTAGGGGTGAGGGTGGGGAGGATATAGGTTGACTTTGGCCTGGTTGTCCACAGAGGGGCACAGTCCAAAATCTAGAAGCCTTTGCTCTGATTAAATGCTCTGAAGCAGCAATACTTTCCCAGGTTTTCTCCTTTGCCTCTGTCAGGTGTAACTAGGAGAGGATATGGTGGCCTCTCATTAAAAAGGGAGGAGGCTGGGTATGTGTGTGCATGTGGACTTGTGAGTTGGTATATTAGGAAGGTGTGCAGGGAAATGAATGTTAGTATCTGAGTGGGGTGAGCAAGGGGAGTGCCTACACAGAAGGCTAAGACTTGCCTTAGAAAAGAATCCCAACTCCAGTCTCACGTGTAGACAAATGGGCAACTAAGGCTTCAGAGCAGCATTTCTTTTTCTTTCTTTTTTTTAAAATATATTTTATTGATTTTTTTACAGAGAGGAAGGGAGAGAGATAGAGAGTTAGAAACATCGATGAGAGAGAAACATCGATCAGCTGCCTCCTGCACATCTCCTACTGGGGATGTGCCCACAACCCAGGTACATGCCCTTGACCGGAATCGAACCTGGGACCTTTCAGTCCGCAGGCTGACGCTCTATCCACTGAGCCAAACCGGTTTCGGCTAGAGCAGCATTTCTAATTCTCATTGAGCATCAAGATCATCTGTGGAGCTTTTAAAGCCACATATTCACAGGCTCTACCCTAACCCTACAGATGTAGATTCTCCAGAATTGTTGCCAGGAATCTAAGTTTAAAAATTTTTAGATTAAATTAAAAAATTTAAAAGCAACTAAGATGTCCCTCAATAAATTAATGGACAAACTATGGTTCATTCATACAATGGAATATTATTTCATGATAACAAGAAATGAACTATTAAGCCATAAAAAGACATGAAGGACTGGAAGTGCATATTACAAAGTGGAAGAAGCCAGCATAAAAAGGCTGCATACTGTATGATTCCAACTACATATCATTCCAGAAAAGGCAAAACTAAAGACAATAAAAAGATCAGTTATTGCCAGGGGCCTCAGGAGAGGGAGGAAAGAATGAATAGGTGATTCACAGGGGAATCACCTATTTTTAAGGCAGTGACACTATTTTGTGTGTAATACAAATGGTGGACACATGACAATATGCATTTGTCAAAACACAAAAGGCTGTTTAACACAAAGAGTAAACCCTAATGTAAACCAGAAGACTTCAGTTAATAGTAGTGTATCACTATTGGTTCATCAGTTGCAACAAATGCATCACACTAAGGCGAGATGCAAATAATAGGGCAAACTGCATATGTTGAGAGGCAGAGGGAAGTGGGAACACACTATATTTTCTGTTCAATTTTTATGTAAATTAAAACTCTAAAAATATAGTCTGGTATGATGACAAATAAATAAAAATTTAAAAATCTAAGAATTAAAAGCTTGACAAGCATTGAGAATCTTAGAGCAGGAACATACTCATTGTGGTTAAGCCAGAGCCCATCTTCAGCTCCTCACAATAGACATTTGTAAGTAGAAGGAATAAAGGAAGGAAGAAAGGGAGAGAGGGAGGAAGGAAGGAAGGCAAGGAGGGGGAAAGGAGTCAAGGAGGGAGGAAGGAAGGAAAATTGAATGAATGCATGGATGGATGGATGAATGAAGCATGCTGGACCTGAAAGTGGAGGAGAAGGCTGGAGACAGGGATCTAGGCTGGAAAGGGTGTAAGGAAGAGTAAACAGGATAAGGGAAAGCAGAAAAGGTGAAGCTGTTTATGCACAGCCAACATTTTGCAAAGGATTGATTCATTGGTATCCAATTCCTTTCCAAACTCTATGCTCCTAGGGCAGTGTAAAGTTTATGCCTGGGACATGAATTGTCTGGAACAACAATAATAAAGTTCATTTGGCTTTAACCCTCTATATTCTGCAGCAAGGAGGAGGGTTGGAGATTAAGCAGGGAGAAAGGCCTGGGAAGAGCATAGAAGTCTGGGTATAACTTAGGAGCTTAAAAAGAGACTGCCTCACTGGAGGAGGAAGGTGGGGGAAGAGCCTGCAAGGGCCAGGACCACCAGGTGACTCTGCTCTAGGTAACATGCTCCTTCTTTGTTTCTCCCAGAGAAGACCCCAGAATGGCAAGGGCAAGAAGGAAGAGGGGGAGGAGTCAGACACTGACGAGAAATGCACAATTTGTCTGTCTATGCTGGAGGATGGAGAAGATGTGAGGTAGGAGGCGAACCTCTTGGATTCCATCTCCTTTTCCTCGTGGGTATTGGTGATCAGTCATGTGCTGTATGTCGGGTGGAGCTTGCTTGTGTGTGCGAGTGTGAGCGAGTGAGTGTGTATGTTGTGTGTGTGTGTGTGTGTGTGTGTGTGTATGCGCGCATGCACGCGTGCACCAAGTGTGTTTCATGGTTGTTCTAGGATGATGGGGTGTGGAACATTTGAGATGTGTGGTGCCTATGGGTATGGACTTATAGATGCTAAGTTTCAGAGAACAACCTGATATTCGGCCAGGATGGGTCTAAGACAAAGCCATGGCTTTGTTTCAGGCTACACTGAAAGGCTGCATGCAGAAGGAGAATTTGGGTGTTCTCCTTCCTGTCGTGATTTCCCATCCCAGCCACAGCCTCACTCCATGGCAGAGCTCCCATGACCCTCTTTGGCCTGTCCCCCAGTAGCCCTGGGTTTGAGTCTCCTGGTCCCTTGAGTAGCCATTATCCCTCAACTCCTGGCACAGCCTTGGGGTTCTTCCCCTCAGCCATTCCTCTGACTCTCCCCCTCTCTTCCAGGCGCCTACCCTGTATGCACCTTTTTCACCAACTCTGCGTGGACCAGTGGCTCGCCATGAGCAAGAAATGCCCCATCTGCCGGGTGGACATTGAGACACAACTGGGAGCTGACAGCTGAGGAAGGAATTAGCCAGTGGATGCCCCATTTTCCTTCACCAGGTCCCCCCACGGCCATAGCCCTTGCAGCCAAACTTTGCCTTCTGAGCCATTTGACGTAGAGGAAAAGCCTGCAAGCACATTTTGTGGAAAGAAGAGTTGGTGGTATCTGTGTCCGAGGGAAAGGAAGGGTGGGGGAGGACCCACCCATCCAGAATGGTGACTGTCCCCATCTGCCTCGCTGCGCGGGAGGGAGGGAGCTGGCCGTGCCCAGAGCAGGGGTGGGAAGGGGGGGCCCATGCTGCTGAGAATCTAGACGCGATCCTGAAGGTCCTAGCTGATAGACCGGCCCCTCAATCCTGCCCTTTGAAGGATTGTATATATACCTCTCGACCACGTAGAAACCATGTAGGGGTCTCTAGCTATTTCTGTGGATGGCAGCCAGAGCATGTTAGCTTAAGAAAAATGTTGTGTGTGGTGCTCTAGTCATCTTGTGGTGGACATGTCGCTATTACCGAATTTGCACCAAATATTTCTCATTGAGTTTCTTGTGTTGGTGCCTGACCGAAGCAACCAACGACAGCCCAAATCTTCCCATCTTTAAGAGAGAAATGGGAAAAGGAATCAGAAATGAAAAAAAAGCCAAATCCTGTTTACGATGAAAAAAGGATAATTTTTTTCACCCAGGTTGGGAAGCAGGGAGGGGGATGGGGGTGCCCTTGTTTTGTTTTCCGTTTTGGTTTTTCCCTTTGCTTTTTCTCATGTTTACAATGCATGGAGCATGGAAGGGGGCATCTGGGAATGGGTAGGACTGGAGAAGGAGCAGATGGGGGTCTTAGATGGGCCTTTGAGGGGCTCAGCCGGGGCTGGGAAGGCAGAGTAGGTAAGAGAAGAATTCTGTCTTGAAGGAGGGATCCCCAGCTCCAGAGCCCATCCACTGAGCTCCAGCCATCTCCCCAGTTCCACACTGAACCAGGGAGGGGCCAGCCTTCAACTAAAGTAGCCACCAGGTTCCTCAGAGCCAGGATACCCCTTACCAGGCCAACTTCTTCCTTTCAGCCTGCGTATGCCCTGTCACAAAGAGGCAATTTGGCCACTGCCTCCCTATGCAAAAAATTAACCAGATGACGAAGCTAAGATAGCATAGGTGATGGATACTTGGTCCTGGCCAAAGTGCTCTCAGCTAGCACTCAAGGGCTGAGGCCAAATACTGTGGACCTTGAGGAGAACTTTGACCTTCCTTAGGGATGGCTCAAATCTTGATGGAGACCCTTGGAGAAGGCCCTGGGCTGAGACCCTGCTGGCTGGGTTTGGGAGGCACTGTGTCCCTAGCCTCTGGCTATTTCTCTGACTCTTTGATAACGTTGGACAAGCCCCTTTCTTTCTCTGTGCCTCAGTTTCCTTCTCCTTAGAGTGGGGAAAACAACAGTGCATCTCCATTTCCACTCCTCTACCTCACCTAGCTGTTGTGAGGATCCATACTATCTGCCCACACATTGGCGCTCTCTCTTGGGAACCTCCTCGGGGTGTAGGGATGGGGGCGGTAGGAGAGGCAGACCTGCAGTTCCAGGTGACATCATATTGTGTGTCTTTCTGCACCACCCTGCAGTTTTTCTGAATCTCAAGGAGAGCAGAGACATGGGAGAACAGAGGGCTGGAGATAGGAAAATCTACCAAATTCCACCAAATCCACCAATCCCAACCCAACTTTCTTTATCTATAAGAGGAAACCCCCAGCTCAGCTGGGCTTCTGCCCTCTTCCTTTACCCCTCCCCTCCTCCTACCCCTCATTTGCACTGCCCCCAAAGGCCTGCCCCCCACCCAAGTCTCAACGCCCTCATATCAATAAGAGAAGACTAGGGGGTCCAGGATATTTATCACATATATGAAGGAATTCCATAAGGTTAAGGAAATTGAGTCTGCATTGCTGCTACAAAGGGTAAAACCAGGACCAATGGGTAAAAATGACTGGAAGGCAGATTTTGGCTTGAGGTGGAACCTTCTAGCACAATGGGAACTGTCAGGTGGAGGGATGGCTACTCTGGACACCTACAGGCAGAGTGGGGGAGGTGGCTTCTGGTGGGAGGTTGCACAAGGATGTTCCGCAGGCTATGCCATCTTTCCTGAGCGCCTGCCAGTGCAGGTGTTGGGACAGGCGATAGCAAAGAAGATGATGAGCTCCTCTGGGAGCTTACACTGTAGCTGAGGAGCTAAGACACAAAGAATAGTGCAAAAATGGTTAATAGTCTGATTCTGGGTTAATGGCAATGAGCATGACCTTGTCCTCTTCACTGATTCCAGTGTGTGAACAGTGTCTCTAGGGCTAAAGGTGGAGACCCTGACAAAGTGGAAAGTACTTCCGAGGCAGAATCTGGGGGAAAGCTAGTTACTAGTTCCCCCTGGAAGCTGGGAATTCTCCCCACCCTGCTTTGACCCCCAGGTAGCCAGGGTGGTCTAGGGAAGGTCACTCCCCTCATAGTCTTGGGCTCTTATTCTCTCTAAGGCCAGTTTGAAAGGCCAGTAGGTAGAGGGAGTCAGTGGGGAGGCCAGATGGAGTGAGAGCTGGAGTCCTGGTTCCTTCTTGGCTCTTCACTGACAAAGTGGGTAGTGCTAGAAACCGACCTTCCTCTCTCTGGGCCTCAGTTTTCTCTGCTGCCACACGAGGAGGTTGGATTAGATGCTTGCTAAATTTCCTTCCAACACTCACATTCTCTGATCCTCCCTGACATTAATACATCATTCAAGTCATTAGAGCTGTGCGCTAACTGAGCTGTTGAAATGACTTGCTGTGGGCACCGATGTCTGTTTCAGAGGCTGAGAGTGGGATGTAGTCTCCTCCCCCTCCCAGTTGTCTGCAGGCTCCCGAGTGCCCCAGGCTAACTTTAGGCATTGCCTGGGGTGGGTGGGGATCACCTGGAGGGGAAAGGTCAGCACTAGCTTTGGGGATAGAGCCTAAAGCTTCTGTCCCCTCATCTCTTTGGGGCCCTCTTACCCCGCAGGTGGGCACAGGAGGTGACAGGGTCCCAGGCACCACTGAGCTCCTTTATCGGGGCAGCTGTCTGGCCAACAAGGGAGGACAGGGTGTCTGTGCTTCTCCTCCCTCGAGGCCCCGTCCCCCTTGGTCCAGGAGCCAGGAAAAGTGGAGAAGAGGCAGGCTCAGGCATCAGCATCTCACACCCACCACCTCCAGGAGGAGACCTCCTGTCCTCCTCCTTCTGCTCAACTCAAGGGACTCAGACCCTTTCTTGACTGAGACGCATGAGTGCCTTCTGGGGCAAGAGCTGCCCCAGGATCAAGTTGGGCCTCCTGGCCACAGGGCAGCCCTGGCCGCAGTGGGTCCACCGAGGACACCCATCTCGAAACCAACACCACAGCCTGGCCTGTGCGGACAGAGGATGGGCCATGGGGCTCCTCCACTTGCCGGGACCCCCTTGGGCCCTGCAGCCCTCCCCTACCACCTGTGATGGGACACTAGCTCCTCTTCTGCACATGTTCCCAGCCTCCGTGCAAGTATTCTTAACCCTTTACGCCTAATGAACAAGCACAGTTTTTTCAATGGTGAAGAAAAAGCACCAGATTTTTTTTTCCTGAAGAAATCCCCCAAACCGCCCCCCGCCCTCCGCCGGCCGGCGGGACACACACTCCCTGAGTGGGGCTGTAGCAACGTCTGTCAGGTCGCCCCCCACCCTCGTGTTTCATCTCCTGCGCGCGCGTAGAGCAAATGCTAGAGCGATTTCAGCTGATAGAAAAACAAAAATGAAAAACAAAAAACAAAAAACATGGCACGTTGCTAGTTTACAGGGTTTTGTGAGTTTAAATGCCTTATATTTAACAATCATAATTTATGACTAACTTGTAGATATCGTGGGTTCTTATTTAATTATTTTTATAGTTGTTTTGCATTTTTAATTATAATTTATTTATTTAGAAAGGATACTAATTTTTTTTATTACTCCTATTACCTCATTTTGCCGTTGTTTCTGGGAGTGGAATGCTTTGCATGCATTGGTACGATGACAAACAACTACGAATACAAAAAAAATTTTAAATAAAATTCCGCGAACTTTATTTCGTCCAAATATCAGGGTGTGTGATTGCAAGCTGTCCTACTGTGGTGCTGGCCTCTTTGGATACATTCCATATGAAATGCAAACCTTTGATTCTGTATGCTGTGATCTAGTGAAAAACTCCAATATAGTGACTGTATTTAGCACATATATTAATATAATTTGCACTTGTCAGCAGACTGGGATAATCCTTTCACTTGCTACCCTTGTCCCCCTGACTCCTCATCACTAGCCTGTCTTCCCTTCTTCCCTTGCCCTTCCCACGCCTCAGCTCACCCTGCCTCCCTCTTCTGAGGTAGCTCTGGGGGCACTGGAGGTCAGTCTCTCCACCTGGGCTACAAATCCCTCTGGTTCCAGAATGTTCCCTTTGGACATGGCCAGCAGGAGCCTGGTTTATTAGAATGAACCCTGGCCTGGAGATCAGGAGGCTTGGGTTTTCAGACCAGCTCTATTGTAACCTTCTCTGTGACCTTGAACAAATCCCTTGGCCTCTCTGTGTCTCAGTTTTCTGGGTTTGGGGGTGGGAGGGCTGGAGGTGAGCAGGAGGGTCTCCAGGGTCCCTGGGATCCAGAGAGAATAACACGGATCCGGTGGGAGACTCCCATGCTGTGTTAAGTCACCCTCTCAGGAGAGAAGAAAGGAAAGAAGGAAAGAAGAGGAGAGGAACAGAGCAGACAGAGAATGTATCCAGTGGATTTGCTCAAAGGAGATACCCAGAGGGTTTCGGTCCTTTTATATGCAGCGTCCTGGAGTGACGGGGAGACAAGACACTGGATACGGGGCATGTGCTTTCACAAGGCTGGGCGGTCACTTAGAAAGTGAGCTGAAATCCATGTCTTGTTAGTTACGGGGATGGGGTGAACCCCAAACTATGGTGTTTAGAATTGGCACCCCATCCCAGCATCTCTTGGAGGCTTTATTGTTGAGGCATCACCCTTGACAACAGATTGGGGTGCAGATTTTAGACTCATGGTTCCTCCTCCCTAGTATCTCCCCTTTACTCTCTGCCATTGGTCCAGGGGGCTGTGGGCAGGGGCGCTGCTGTGGATGGGGGTGGGCTCCAGTCTCACTGCCCCAGGAGGAGTGTAGGGGAGGGTTTGGGGAAGAGGTGGCCTCAGAGCCTGGCACAGCTGTGAGCTGAGATGCCTTTGAGCTAACGGAGCGAGGAGGTCCGTGCCCCCAGAAGAAGCCTGGCCCGGAGTGGGAGATCCACTCCTGTGCCTCCCGCATGCCTGCCTCTTCCCTCCTCTCCTCCTTCCCCTCCTTTCCAGCCCATCTTGCCTCTTGACATCACTGCCTTTGCCTAATGGAGCAGCCCACCCTCCACGTGAGGCCCCCTGGGATGGTGCTGATGGGGGAGGAAGTGGATGCCCAATTCGCCACACTGCCTGGCCAGGCTTGGAGAAGTGTCTGGGCCGTGCATGGTCCCTAAGCCCCAGCTTTGCTCCGGCTGGACTATGGGTCTCGTTCCCTGGGCTTCCTGCCTGCTGCCTGCCAGCTTCCCTTTCTGCCTCCGCCTGGAGCCTTGTTCTCCTGCTTTCCTTGGAGAGGGCCTGTGGAGTCCCCCACCGGGCGCAGACCACCACTGCTGGGCCTGGCAGACACTGCCCTCTTGGCAAGGCTCCTGGACGGACATGCCTTACGCTGCTCTGCAGGGTCAGAGTGGGAAGGGGCCCTTTGCCCTGGCTGGCCTGTGCCCCCCACTCCTCACTGCAGCCTTCCTCTCCCCCAGCCCTACCCCTGGCCTTGGCTGCAGCTCATTTCTCAGCTGTGGAGCTAGCCTCACTGGGCCCTCCAGGGGGTAATTTGGTTGCCCCTGGTAAGTGAAAGGATTATCTTCAGCGTTGATTGTCCTTTTTTGTAATCCTCCTGCTGTTCTGTTCTGTTGTGCTGTGCAACATTTTGCTACATAGACTATTTTATAGCAGAAAGCTAGAAGAATATTTATTATGAATATTAAAGCAATAGTGCATCAATGAAAAGGCGGAGACATTAGGAATCGTGTAAATGCTTAGATTCACTTTTGGTGGATTTTTTGTACTTTATTTATAACTAATAAAAATGACCTGCATTGCTAACTACACCTCATTGGTGCAGGGTGCTTATTTCTGTGCAGACCTGGTGTGTCTGGAGAAAGCCCCTCACAGACCTGGTCTCTGTCCATTATCGGAGGCCCAGCAGGTATGTTTCCCCACGTCTACTCCTCCTCCTCCCTCCCTCTCACCTGCTTCCCTTTCCCCTCCCCTCCCACCATTTCTTCTTCCTCTGCTTCCTCCTCCACCTCCTCCTTCCTCTCCTGTCTCATGCATTCTTTTCTTCAACCTCTTTATCTCTCAAAGAATCTGTTCCATGCTGTGAACCAAACATCTATTTAACCTGTTTCCTAAACTTTGGGTTATGGTTTTTAAAGGGGAAAGTTCCCATTCTTGATCAATCCTCAAATGTAACCTCTTGTGTTTTGACTTGGAGGGCACATCTGTTTCTCTGTAGGGGAGAAGGAATGTGATTTTGATGGTTGGCACGAATTCTTATTCCTTTGGAAGAGCCCAATTCAGACACTCAGCATCTAGAGCCTGGTCTCCTTGTGTGGGTCAGTGAACCGGAAGATGGCTTTCTTTCATCAACTGCAAATAGAACCCATATTAAGGAACTATTTGTAAAAGTAATAGGCTTCACTTTTTAGAGCGGTTTTGGGCTTACAGAAAACTGAGCAGAGCATGCAGAGTTCTGATATAGTCTCTTCTCCACCACCACCCAGTTACTTCTATCACTCACATCTTGCCTTAATGTGGTACATGGTTACAGTTGATGAGCCAACATCCATACATTATTATTAACTAAAGTCCATAGTTTACATTAGGTTAATGAATGTTTAAATCCCTCGTTTTTGTTAGGTAAGATGACCCCAGATGCTGTCTGTCGCTTTCCCCATTTTCCATCTACGTCTCTCGATCCACAAATCAGGGCTCGCTAGTCGTAGCCCCATCGCTCACCTGCATGTGGATGGGAAAGACACGGCCCTTCTCCGGTTTCCAGCTGTAAAAATGTGGACGGGTAGACTAGGCTCCTTCCGGCTTCCACATGCCACAGGTCTTTATTTATGGACGCCACCTCCTCCATTATCCTTGTCTAGGTAATCTCTATTTACACAGCAGAGGTTCCCCTAGGGCCTGAGCAATTTTGGGAGAAATGGTTCTCTTTCCTTGGATTTTGTCCTAACCGGTTACATGGGCAAATGTACCCTTCCTAGTCGCTACTCCCTTCTGGCACTTTCCATTGCAGTGCCCGGGAGGAAAGGGACTTCTCAGAAAACATGCAGCTCATCCTCCATGCAGGCCATGACTCTCATCACCATGAAGTTCCTCCGGAGGTTTAGGAGGAAGGACATCTGTCTGTATTAGTCAGGACTCTCAGGGAAACAGATAGGAGATGATAGGTAGGTAGGTAGGTAGGTAGATAGATGAATAGATAGATAGATGAATGATGGATGAATGGATGGATGGATGGATAGATAGGTGGATAAGATATCTCTGTATATCTGGAGATTTATCAGGAGAAAGAATTAGCTCCTGTGATTATGGAGGCGGAAGAGTCCCACGACCTGCTGTCTGCCAGCTGGGACCAGAGAAAAGCCGGAGCTGCCATTCAGTTTGAGTCTGAAAGCCTGAGGACCGGGAGAGCTGATGGTGTAAGTCTCAGTGCATGGGCAGAAGAAGACCGGTGTCCCATGCAAGCAGGCAGGCAGAAGGCAGACAGTCTCCCTTCCCCTCCATTTTCTTCTATTCAGGCCTCAGTGGATGAGATGAGGCTCCCCCACTCCCACGCCCAGGTCAGGGAGGGTGATCCACTTGACCGAGTCCACTGATTCAAATGCTATTCTCACCTGGAAACACTCTCACAGACACACCTAGAAATAATATTTAACCTGGGCTCCCAGGGGCCAAAGTGACACATAAAATTAACCATCTCTCTCTTCCTCTCTCTCTCTCTCTCTCTCTCTCTCTCTCTCTCTCTCTCACACACACACACACACACACACACACACACACACACACACACACACACACACA